TTGGTTGATGTTCATGTGCTACGAAATCTAGAACCTTCTGATCAACATCCTTATACTATAAAAGGTGCGATCTTCAATATCCATTTTTGGTAAAATCACTGACTGTAATACAGATACTTTCTTCATCCTTAATAGGTACCCACTTTTTGAAGAATGAAACTTTGTCCTTTTGTTTAAGGAGTGTATAGATGGTTGCAAAGTAAAAATGTTGTTGTCTAATTTCTGTTTTAGCTGTAGTTATTCATCCATCTAGAGATTCTTTTATGTTTGTTAACTTGATATTTCTTTTTTCAGCCAGTATTACTGTTTTGAAAGACCAAAAGGAGTCAAAACCCCATTGTTTAGCTAGAAAGTTTCTTAAGAAGATGTCTTTTAAATTGGTTTCTTGTAGTAAGATTATGTTTAAATTGTATGATTTTAGTAGAATAAAAGTTTTTTGTACTTTAAACTTGTTATTTAAGCCCTTTATGTTCAATATAGCAATTTTGATCATTAGTTAAATTGAGAGTTGGATAAAGCTACACTAAACTTTATTAGTCTTATGTTAAACTCTTTGTAAATGACTTGGTAGAGAGCCTTCTTCATTCTTGTAGAGGTGACTTATTCTTGCTTGGTCCTTTCTTTTGCTTTTAGTTTTTTGTTTTCTATAGGTAACTGTAGTAAAAAGTATTTCTTTTGTATTGTTTTCAATGTTAACTAAGCTGATTATTGACTTAACTTCTTCTGTTTTCATTTTGTTTGATTTATTAATATCTGCTATAGTAGTGATAAAATTAGATTTTTTAATATTTTTTGTTTCTAAGAATGTATTTTTTAGTATTATTGCTTTGTTATCAGAAATGAAATCTGAAGTTGTATCTTTTGCATTTGTTAAGTTCTCTGTTGTTCTTTAACTTTAGAGATATTAATATAGAGGTTGTTATAGCTAAAGCTTGTTTCAAAAAATGAGGTGTTTTGAGTTCTAATTTTTTTTCTATACTCTTTGGCTTCTTTTAATCATTGTCTGATCTCGATTGAAGCTTTCAGTTCTTTGTAGTCTTTTTTAAAATAACCCTTTTTTTTATAATAAAAACAGATTTTTGGTACTTTTTTCTATTCAGTTGTTATTTTGTAATTATCAATATAGGTACTTCGAGGTATTCTAGTTGATATCTCAGGATCTTCTGTAGTTTTAAATGTAACTAATCATTGGTCTAAACAAACTATAGTATCTTTATAAAGTAGAAGCTTAATTGATGTGATTTGTTCTATATTTCAAAAAGCCTCAAAAACTTGATAGCTGATCATTTTGGTGTCTCTTATAGGCATATTTCTAAGTTTAACTGTAAGAAAAGATCAATTTAGGTTGATTGGAATGTATCTAAAAAGAGCTTGTTTAAAGAAAGAGATTCTATTAGCTGCATAAAGCTGAATTGCTTCTTTATTTTTGAGGACCATTTCAAGAAATAACTGTTTTTCTCTAAACATATGTAGTTTGGCAACTACAAAATCTTCTTTTAAACTAGCAGCTAAAGCTATAATTATGTTATTAATAGGAATATTGTTTAAATTTTAGATGTTTAGTATAAGAGCATTTTTGTTTTTAAAGCATATTTTTTGGCTAAAAAAGGAGTTTATAAAAATAGCTTTTTCTTCTTTAAGTCTTGTAAATAGTTTAGACCATTGTTTTGGTCTTGTGATATTATTTGTTGTATTTTTTTTTGGTATATCCTTCTTTTTGTGATTTTCTAAAGATGTAATTGGTTGCTAACTGGTAGGGTTCTCATAGTTGGTTGCTGTACTAGTACTCATATTGGTTGTTTGGCTCAGGCATATACTTCTGGTTTGGTGTATTTTTTTTTTTGTCTTTTTGTTTGTTGTTGTTTTTTCTGTGTTTGTTATTATTATTATTTTTTTTAGCTTCTAGTTCATTTTTTGGTTAACTGGCCCAGTCTGAGCTAGTTTTCTTTATTGCTATAGTTGTTTCTATATTTGTATTCTGTTAGATGTTTGTGGTGTTGCTTGTTTTCAAAACTGTAATATTTTCTTTATTTTTTTTGTTTTCTTTAACTTTTGAAAGTTTAAAGACTATTTTTTTGTCTGTTTCTGTTCTGACCTTCTTGTATAGAAATTTGCTTATATTTGCTAATGATAGTTTATGATTTTTGAGAGTTATGTATCTTTCTTTGCATGAGTTTAAAAAGTAAACTGTTTTATTTGAATATAAATTTTATATTTTTATAAGTTTCAGTGATGAACCAGAAAGAGTTTTTTTTGGATTTATTTTTAATTCAATTTGATATAAGGTTGTTTATTGTGTTTAGCAGCTTTCTGCTTAGTGGCAGCAGGTAGGCCAAATACTAAGTTTTCAATATAAAAAAGCTTTAGCTACTAAAATTTTTCTTTTAAAGAATAGGTTTCTAGTCACTATTGTTTTTATCTTGTTCTTAATATTTTGCATTAAACTTTTCCAAAGTTGTTTTTTAGAGTTGTCCTCTATGTCTACTTCATATCTTAAAATTCTTAAGATGGTTTCTTTGTTGGCTATTTTGTATTAACTTTGATTTTATAATTCTGTTATTTTTGCTATATTTGTCATAGAAATTAGTATAAATTTTTTTTAGTTAATTTTAGTATTAGATGCTTGTTCATATTGCTTTAGCAAAGCCATTAACCTTTTTCAATTCTGAGATGAGCTAATTTCTATTGTTAAATTATCTGCATATGCTACAGCTTAGAAGTTGCAACTTGGTAGCTGGACTTCTTTAATCTTCTCTTAAATTTTAAGAATCAGTAATTTAAAGCTATTATATATAACAGAAGAGAAAGAGGGTCTTTTTGTCAAACTCCTCTTTCAACTTTAAAGGGTTTTGAAATCATGTCTGCATCTGCTATATTAGCTGTTTAAGAATTGAAAAAAGACTTGATGATATTAATGAACTTTATATTGAAGTTTATTTTTTCTAAAACCTTTAGAATAAATGTATAGTTTATTCTATTAAAGGCTTTTTGTTGATCTAAAAGTAAGAGCTAGTGAAAGGTGGTCTGGTCTTTTTAATTTCTTATTACTGTAAGAATATCCAAGACAGCATTTGTAATTGATCTTTCTTTTAAGAAAGCTTGTTGTAATTGGCCAATTATTGTTTTACAGATTAGATTAACATTACAGTTCATAAGCAATATAGGTCTCCAATTATCTATATTATCTAGTCCTTCTGTTTTTTTTGAAATTAGTATAATAATGCTTTTAGTCCAAAATCTAGGAATGTTGCCTATTTCTAAGCAAAAATTAAACAGTCTTATGAGTACTGGAATAATTTTATCCTTAATACCCTTGTAGAATTCATATGTAAGGCCATCTGAGCCTGAAGCTTTGTTGTTAAGAAATATGTTTATTATATCAGTAACTTTTTTTTCAGAGACTTGTTTTATTAATACTGCATTCTGCAACTCTATTATAGATAGAAGATTATGTATAAAGAAACTTGCAGCTTTCATATTTATTCCATTATTTTTATATATTACCTAGTAGATATCTTTAATATATTGTAATGTAGAGGCTAGGTTTTCTGCTACATATTCTTGTGATGAGTGTATCTTGTCTTTGGCTAATATTGAATTTTTTATTTTATATAAAGAAAAAAAAAATTTTGTAGATTTTTCACCTTCCTTGATCTATTTGGCATTAGACCTCATTTGTTAGTTTTTAGATAATGACTGGAGTTTTTTCTGTAACTGTAACTTAATGTTTTCTTTAGTTATTAGAATTTTGTCTGTATTTTCACTATTAGCTGCTTTGTTATCCAGTTTTGTAAGTCTTTTTTGCAGTTTTTGTATTTTTTTTTCAGAAAAAGCTTGTAGGCAAAATGCTCTTATTATAAACTGTATTCTACATTTGTACAGGTTTCACTTTGTAAAATTATGAATATTTGAAACTTCTTCTATTATTTCATTTTTAAGAAGACTGTTATTTTAGTTGTTTTGAAAAAATTTTCATTGTTTGGCTCTAAAGAATATTGATGTAAGTTGAAGCTCACATTCTATAAGCAAATAGTTTGAGTTGCCAAACTGTGTTGCAATGTTCTGACAGTGATAGATGTGATTAGCATCTATGAATATATAGTCTAGCCTAGTGGCCATTTTATGATTTTCTTGAGTGTTTTGATAATATGTTAAAAAAAAGTTACTATTATTCATAGCTATATGTATATCTACAAAATTTGTAGTGAGTTCTTTAAGTTGTTCTCTTGTAAGGTTATTAGCTACCAAAGCATGACTAATTCAGTTTTTTTGTAAATTAAGGTTAGTATTAACATCTCTTGCCAGTATGTTGATATATTTCTCTTTATACTATAAAATCCAAATATTAAAGAAATAAGTTTTATTCTTTATATTTGGTAGTGCATATATATTATTTAAAAGAAATAGTTGTTGCTTATATATGAATTTTGCTATGATTACTTAACTCTTATATAATTCCTTAATATTGTCAAAGTGAATATTTTGGTTTTCTGCTAGTATTGCAGTTTTAGCTGTCCAATAGGAACTGTAATTTTAATGTTGTTACAAAAAATTTCTTGTGTCTACATTTTATAAGTTGGTTTTTTGAAGCATAATTATATATATTTTATATGATTTTAAGAATGTAAATATTTTGTAAGCTTTGTTCTTGTTATTTAAACCTTTAACATTTAAGGTTGTGATTTTGATTGATTTAACTATATTTGTTATATATGAGGTGTAGTTTAGAACCTGTTAGTCTTTGGGTTAAAGATCTTTAAGTTCATCTTATTGGATTTGTTTTCCTTTAAGATAGCTATTTTGAATTTGTATTTGTACTTTCTCTTAGAGATAACTACTTTAAACCTATCGAAAACTTCTTGTTTAGTGTTTGTTAACATTGTAACTATTGGCATATCATTGTATAGAAATGCTATTAGATCATAAAGACCATTTTCTTGTCATATTTTTTGTATATTTAATGCAGCTTTCTTTTGTATTGTTTCTTCTAAAAGCATAAATTAAGTGCTTTTCACATTATTATTTATTTCAGTTTCTGTTCTTGGTTGTTCTATTTCTTCATTATTTGGGAAGCTACTATTAGCTTTAATTTTTGCTTTTGGTTGCTCTGCTTTCTCATTATCAAGATTTATTCCTAGACTAAGTTTCTTAGTATAAGAATTTTCTGTACTAAATTCTGTTATGATTTCTTCTTAATAATTTATATGTTTTTTCTCTTGTAATCTTTGTTCCCTTCTTGCCTTTTGCAAGTTTTTAAGTTCAACAGATGCTTGGTATTCAGAAGATTGTTCTGTTTTGTCACAAAAATAACAAAGTTTTAAAGCTTTTCTCTAGTCTGTTGTTACTTTGTGATTCCAAACATATGTATACCTAGAAATTCTTTTTGCTAGTTTAAGATCATTTGTTGTTTTAAAAATTACTACCTATTGATCTAATAATATCAAAGTTCTTTTATATACTAGTTGGAATGCTATTTTAATTTGATTTAAAATAACATCTTTCTTGTCCATAGAGGTATTTTGAAGCCTAACTAAAAGAAAGCTATATCTAATATTGATTGAAATATATCTTGAAGGTTTTGATTGAAGATGACAAGACCTTTTACAAAATATAGCTGTTGCTTATCCTCATTTACAAAAACTATCTCCAAATGAGTTCTTTTTTTCTTAAAAATAATTGGTTTGACTGCAACTATGTCATCTCTAAACTTTTGTGTTATTGCTTCTATAATGTCAGTTGTTGGCATATTTTCCAGATTATGTATCTTAAAGATCAAAGCATTCTCATTCTTTGTATTAATCCTTTTTCTTGGTAAGTAGGTGAAGTATGTTGCCCTTCTCCTTTCTAATTTGAAGAACAATTTTGCCTATTGTCTTGGTCTTGATTAAAAACCTGCTTCCTTAATCACATAACTCATACCTTGTGTTTTGTTGTTATCATATTCTACATAACTATTTTGTAGCATGTGTTCTGTTTGTTTTGGTTGTTCTGGCAGTTTCTGATGTGTTTCTTTACAAACTGTCATGTCTTTAACTTTTTTTTCGATTTTATCTTAGTCTTGACTTTTTGTTAGAAGTTCCTTACCAACATAGTTTTCATTAAAACCTACTGTTTTGCTTGCATTTGCTGAGGTACCTAAAACAGATTTTTTCAAACTTCTAGTCTTATTTGGCAGCTCTGCTTCTTGGTTTTGTTTTTCTTCTTCAAAGAAAAAAACTTTGATTTTTTTGTTTTTTTTCTGTTCTGTCTGTTAAAAAGCCAGATATAACTATACAGACTTGTTTTTTTTTCTTCAATACAAGAGTTTTAGCTCTTGTAATATAGTTTTTTTTAAAGTTTGATCATTTGTTTATTGTTGTATATGTTATTTTGCCTTTTATTAAAAATTAGAGTGAGGAAAGAGAGAGAGTTTTTTAGTAGTTTTTTTTTTCTTTCACTTTTATATAAAAAAGTGTTATCAGATTAGTAATACTCTATTGTAGAGCAGTAGTTAGAAATAATCTTCTAGGTAGTACTTGTTACTGCCTAGTGTGGTAGGTCACTTCTGAGTACTCTTAGAAGCAGCTAAAAAAGTTGAAACTTGAAAACTAAGCTTATATTATTAGCAATAATTAATTTTCTTCTTAATAAAGATATACTAGCATGACTATTTAAATAAAAAAAAATAATATTATTATTACAATTACAATTAAATAGTTTTTATATCTAAATTTTATTATAAAAATTCTTTGTAATATTTATTTTATCTTTAAAATATATAATAAACCTATTTTTGCTTTATACAAATACTAGTAACCTATTTTTTAATTATATATGTATTAGAAAAATCTCTTTAGCTAAATAAAAACTCATATTTATTCTGTTTGTTAAGTAATTATTTAATAATAAGTAGAGGTATTTGCATAATTGCTACTTTATTATAAATTTTTTTGCTTTTAGCATTATTAGACATGCTAAATTGTTTTTTTATAACTTAACACTTGTTTAAAAATATTATTTTGCCAAATGCTTTTAGATACTTCTATTAGAAAAAGACTATTTTCTATTCTTATATTGATTATTGACTCCTTTAGACCTGTTGTATTAAGTCAATAATGCAAACTAGTAATTTGTTTAAGTGTTAATTAATCCTATAATAAGTTAAGCTTACCAAGATTTTTGTGATATATCATGCTATTTCTTACTAATCATATAATTTTTATCTTTTTTTTTGTTTTTATTAAGGCTATTAGTTATTAGCAGCTATTGCCTTTATTGTAAATTCAATTATAATTACATAACTTGTACAAGGTGATCTTTATACTATACTAGCAAATAAGTATACAAGTTTCTGTATACTGAAGTATTGTTTAATCTAACCCTGACCTTTCTGTTTGTATGCCTGTTAAGCTATTACATATTTTAGAATATATCTTTTAACTATAAGGCTTTAGAAGGCCCTTCTGCTAATTAACTACTTATATTTAATTTTTGTTAACAGGGCTCATCTTTGAAAGTTCATTCAAATTTCAGTACCAACTTTATAGCATATCTCTAGTATTTAGCTATTTCAATTCAAATAGTCTAAAATAACTGTAATCTGTCTCTAATATTCCAAGAGTTTGCACTTCAAGATTTTTTTTTTCTGGTTCAAGACTTCTGGTAGCCTAATGGTAATACTCTTACTAAAGTTCTTGTCTGCCTGATTTTTTTTAAATTAATATTCATTTTCTAGGTCTAGCTTTTACAATGGTACTGTTAAAGATCTGTGCTATCTTTCTACTCCAGTTTTTTCAAGTAGGCTCTGGCTTTTCAGTTCTACAGATTTATATAACTACAAGGACTTTCTTAGGTTTGTACTATCTGATGCTAATTTGTATTTCTCTGTATAACTATAATATTGGACAAATATCTCATAACCGCCAGTAATGCTGATATAACCATAGTTACAGTTATCTTATCCCAACTGATCAACAAATTGCTATTGTTATAATATAGCATACTTTCTGTAATATTGATATTATATAGGTAGTTTTTTAAATTTATATTATTGATGGGTTTTGAACTTCCAACCTACTATTTAGGAAGTTGACATAACTTATTCATTTTACTAAGTTACTACACCTCTACTGATTTCTATCTTTTTTTTTACCAGACTGATTATTAGTATATATATATTGTCTATTATGTTTTTTGATAATTTTGTTGTTTGTAACATGTAATATAACTTAGATATAATATATATGTTATTAATATATAATATAATATTTGACTAACTAGGAGTATAGTAACTTAGTGAAGTGAATAAGTTGTTAACTCTCCAAGTCGTAGGTTGAAAGTTCAAAACTTACTGATAGTAAAAGTTTGAAAATATTATAAAAAATAAACAGTATTATGATAATGGCATTCTATCAATCAGTTGAAATCAGTACTTGTAACATGGTCACACCAGCATGACTAGCAGATCATGGGGCATTTGTGCAATATTGAAGTTACACAAAAGAATGCAAATCAGCATTAGGCAGTGCAAATCTAAGATAAGTTTTCATGACTATATAAATCTGTAAACTGGAAAACCAAAGCCTACTTGAAAAGATCTAAATAGAAAAGTAGTACAGGTTTTTGACAGTATTATTGTAAAGTCTATACCTAGAAAACAGATATCAATGTGAAAGAAATCAGGCAGGCAAAAACCTTAGATAAAGGATACTACTAATCAGGCTACTGAAAGTCTCAAACTGGAGGAAAAGGACCTTGAGAGCAAACCCTGAGGTATCAGAAACAGGTCATAGTTTTACTAGGCTATTTGAATTGGGAGTCTAAGGTCAGAAGCAGAAGTATACTATAAGTACTAGAGGTATGTTATAAAGTTGATGCTAGGGTCTGGGTGAACTCTACAAGGGTAAGCCCTATTAACAAGAGACTAAATATGAGTAGTTAGTTAGCAGAAAAGTCCTCTGTAGTTTTACAGTTAGATAATGTATTCTGAAATGTGTAACAGCTTGATAGATGTACAGACAGAGAGGTCATGATTAGGTTAGATAGCACTTAAGTGTACAGAAACTTGTGCACTATTTGTCAGTATAAGTATAAGAATCAGAGTGTTTAAATAGATAATCTCCTAGTAGATTGCAGGTATGACAGCTAGTATAGAACCTGCTGTGCAGATGAACTACTTAAAATAGACAACTAAACGTTGTGTGTATAGCTAGTTGTATACTCATCTTGTACAAATTATGTAATTATAATTAAAATAAAATAAAGGCAATAGCTATCAATAACTACAACCTTAGTGTAAGCAAAAAAAAATATATATATATATTTGGCTAACTATTAGTTTTTTGTGATCTAGTTTTTGTATAAAAGATCATATTATTTCTTTGACTCTTGTTAATTCTTTAAGCTTGCAATTTAACCAAATTCCTAGAAACTATATTATTTTATTTTTACTTTCTTTTTGAATATATTCTTTACCAAAGAAAATTGTTTTTTTTTGTTCTTTTTGGTGTTCATCATGATCAGCTTGGTCTTTTTTTCATTAATTTGTATATTATTTAAGTTAAAAAAGTCTTCTGCTATTTTAATAATTTTTTTTATTTAAATTTTGCTTGATATAACTGATGTAGTATTAATTGCAAAGGCTATTACAGCTTGTCTCTACTTTTTTTTTGTATTAAAGATTCTATACAGTTGTTAGATAAAGTATACAAAGTACAATCTAGATTTAAATTATTCTAAATTTTTTTTATAAGTGGATTAGAATATTCTTTATATTAAAGATAAAATTTTTTCTTTTTGTTTGATTTTATTTTTAATCTCAAAGGCTTCTGTTGTTTTCAAATCTGTAATAATTCTTAATTATCATTTTTCAAAAAGATTTAAAATAAAGATAATTGCTGTTTTTAATATTTTAAGTCTTTTAAATATCAGGTCTAATACTATTAATGATACTAAATCAAAAGCCTTTTTTATATCTTACAATATCAGCCAGAGTTCTTTTTGGTTATTTTTTGCATCTTCTATTATTACATTAATTATATACATTAGCTTTTCTGTTAATTTTTTTAACAAACCTACAAAGTTTAGCCTTTTTAGAATATTCTTTATATGTATATTTGTGGCAACTTTTTGGTAAATATTTTAGTTATACATTTTTACAAAGTTTTTAGTAATGTTATTGGTCTTACATTACTTAAGTTATATTGCCAATCAAGATCCTTTGATATTGAATATATTTGTGATATTTTTTATTTTCTAGGTATCATTTTTGTCTTAATATATATTTCTGCAAATTTTCTTGGAATTTCTTGTATCTGGTTGCTAGCTGCCTTGATTAATATTAAGTAATTCTTAAGATACCAGGTGCCGTATTATTTTTTAAATTTAATAACATTTTTAGCCACTTTTCTTCTATAACATCTTGATTTAATTAATCATATCAGACTTTCTATTTATTCTTAATCTTATAATTTTGAAAGTTACATGCTTGAAAATATTGCTGAAAATGTGATTTGATCTTTTTTAACACTATATATAGATCTGTTACAAGTACTCTCTTAAATCTTCTAGTTTAATAAGCCTGTCTATTTTGATTTTTTTAATTAGTTTGTCTAATAAACTTACTAACATTCTTTTCTACTTGTTATTAATTATTTGGCATCTTCTTTTAATATTTTATTCTATTTTTTTTAATCATGTTTTTTTAATTTTTTTACTTTTCTCTTGTATAGAATCTTCTACCAACTTCACAAATCTGTAATTATCTTTTTTGTCTATAATTATTTTAATATTGATTCTATGCTACTTATTTATGTACTTTGCTGTATTATTAAAATTATATATATTTTCTAAAATTAAATCTAATTTAATGTTTTTTCTTTCTAAGTTTATTCACCTTTATAACTGTGCTAACAACTTTGTTAATTCTAAGTTTTTTATTTTATTGTTTCTTTTATTAGCAACAGTATTAAGAATTTTCTTTTTAAGTATAGTCTTTTTTGCTACTTCTAATGTACTTTTACTTATAATTTCTTATATTTTATCTAA